ATAGTTAAAAGTATAGTTGATTTACAATGTTGTGTTAGTTTCAGGTGTACAGCAAAGTGATTCAGATACACACACACACACACACACATTCTTTTTCAGATTCTTTTTACCTAGTTTTAATTTTTAACTTTTTTGGACCATTCGTTGCCATGTGGAACATTGTAAATGGCCACTCAAGGCCAAACTTGGAGAAGTTTTAAATTAAGTTTTAAACTAACTCAGTTTTCATTTAAAGCTGATTTTCATATGTGGTGTGTACATTAACTTTATTATTTTATATATGTTATTATTTTATATTCCTGGTCAAACTTCTCATACGATGGAATTTCACTTTATCAATCTAGAGAAATAATGATCTCCATGTGGTCAAGTCACATGTTTGCTCAAAAACTCCTGTCTTATCAGAATAAAGTCCACACCCAGTCTGTAACTCCGCCTGCAGTTACCTCCAGGATTCTAGACCTGGAGCAGCACAAGTGCCTCTGCGTCAGGACTGAAGATGGCCCTGGGCCTCCAAATTCCTGGACTTTGTTCTTTCCGTGGAAAACTCTTTTCTTCTTCTTTTTTGTTTTTAATTTTTCAAATTTATTTATTTATTTATTTTTGGCTGCTTTGGGTCTTCGTTGCTGTGCGCGGGCTTTCTCTTGTTGCGGCGAGCAGGGGCTCCTCTTCGCTGTGGTGCGCGGGCTTCTCGCTGCGGTGGCTTCTCTTGTTGCAGAGCATGAGCTCGAGGCGCGCAGGCTTCAGTAGTTGCAGCACGTGGGCTCAGCTGTTGTGGCTCGTGGGCTCTAGAGTGCAGTCTCGGTAGTTGCGGCTCACGGGGTTAGTTGCTCCGCGGCATGTGGGATCTTCCTGGACCAGGGCTAGAATCCATGTCCCCTGCATTGGCAGGCAGATTCTTAACTGCTGAGCCACCAGGGAAGTCCAACTCTTTTCTTCTTATTCCATCAAGACCCATTCTACCCAGACGATCTTTCAACTCTCATCTCTTTGAGGAAAGCCTTTTTATTAGCATAACTATAGTTTTTTGCCTCCTGATAAGCACCATATTGTCCCCCACTTCTGTAACCGAGCAGGACCCTATGAGGCTTTCCCATAATAGATCCCCCACGCATGTCCTCCGCCACCTTTTGTCTGTAGAAAAACTTTAGTCAAAGAATAAATTTAATCAGAGAAGCAAGAAAATGCAGAAAGAAAGGAAAACAGTGGAACAATACAAAATAATAATACTTTAGCCATTAAACAAAGTCAAGGACCTTTAGTTCCTCCTCAAGGGCTGTAGATACTGCTCTGAGCCATGTCCTTTGAGCTGTTTTGCACAGATTGAAACTCCCACCAGGTGGAAGAAGTAAGTTAACTGCATGCTGCCCACAAGCACGTAGACCCCTGACCAGCTGGAACCAGAAGGCTGATGATGTTGAGTCCCTGTGACCTCACCACCAGCCAATCAGAAGAATGTCCATGAGCTGACCACGCCCTCCTCCTTGAACACTGTAAGACTCCTCACTACTCCCTCCAGGGAAGGACACACAGTCTTGAGGGCATTATCCTGCTGTGGGCCCGGCAAAGCAATAAGAGCTACTCTTTTCCACTTCACCTATGACTGTGTCTCCATGTTTCTGTTAGGCTGAGTTTCGGCAACACTTCCAGCACTGAGCTCAGAAGGACTGAAATCCTGGCAACTGTGTCCTTGTCTGGTTCATTTCCTATCAGTCCATTATGCAACAACAGCACTGAAATATTTGTTCAGTTAAATTGTTGACTGGAGGCCCCACCCTTTTACTTGCTCCTGGTCTAAAGATAGGAAGGTAATTACACTTAGTAGTTGAGGTTTTTCATAGATTCGCTGGACATTTCTATCAGCAAAGGGACCACAGTTGCTCTACAGTCCTTGAAATCTCAACTCCTCTTTAAGGAGGATCTTTTCTTCTTGAACAACAGAGATTTATTTTCTCAAAAGTCTAGAGAAACTATGACTAGAAGTCTAGGATCAAGGTGTCAACGAGTTTGGCTTCTGAGGCCTCCTTCCTTGGGTTGCAGATGGCCACCACCTCACTGTGATCTCACGTGGTCTCCCCTCAGTCTATGTGTTGTCTGTGTCCTAATCTCCTCTTCTTAAAAGGACACCAGTCATGTTAGATTAGGGCCCACCCATAGGACCTCATTTTACCTTAATTATATCTTTAAAAATCCTATCTTGAAATACTCACATGCTGAGGCATTGAGGGTTAGAAATTCAACATATGAATCTGGGAGAGACACAGTTCAGCCCGTAACACCCCTCTTCCTTGGACTAGTATTATGTCCTCCTAACCAGCCTCTCCACACCTCCAATACCTTCTAGGGGGATCTTTTTTTTTTTTTTTTTTTTGAGCAGAGAAAGGTTTATTGCAGGGTCAAGCAAAGAGAACGGGGGTGGCTCGTGCTCACAAACCCCGAACTCCCTGATGGTTTTGGGGGAAAAGTTTTTTTTCTTTTTTCTCCTTTTTTGCAGTATGCGAGCCTCTCACTGTTGTGGCCTCTCCCGTTGCGGAGCACAGGCTCCGGACGCGCAGGCTCAGCGGCCATGGCTCACGGGCCCAGCCGCTCTGCGGCATGTGGAATCTTCGCGGACCAGGGTACGAACCCGCGTCCCCTGCATCAATAGGCAGACTCTCAACCACTGCGCCAACAGGGAAGCCCAAGGGGGAGAAGTTTTTATAGGCAAAATTTGGGGTGAGGGCTGCAGGCGGCGTGGCCTTCCTCTGATTGGTTGGCTGTGAGGTAACAGGGCAGTGTTCCGGGAATCTTGTGCTCAGCCTGAAGTTGCCATCCTCCACCTGGCTGGGGGCCTTAGTTCCCAGCCAAGTTGTCAATGACTTGCCGCGCGCAGTCTTAATTTGGATATCCGGTGGTCGTCTGGGTCAATCTTCTCGAGTCCAAAGAGATAGAGCGATAGGATAATGAGAAAGATTGAGAGGAGAAAAGCCTTGGCCTGTGGGCTCCTTCACAGCCAGAGAACTTCTCTCTGCCAGATCTTGCAGGCAGTGTCAGTCACCAACTAAGGGCCTCCTGGAATCTACACAGCTCAGGAGAAGTCCCAGCCACCCTTCAGAGGGGAAGCCGAAGCCCAATAGGCAGATCGAGATTCTGCCCTTTGAGTTCCCACGTTGGGCACCAGAAAAGATGCTGCAGGAAAGAGAGTGCGGGGCGAGAGGATGGTCACGTCCCAGGTCTCAGGTGAGTCTCTGGGGTGGCTGCCAAGGGTGGGTTCTTGGCTTTGTGCAGGAAAGAATTCAAGAGCGAGCCACAGTAAAGTGAAGGAAGGTTTATTCAGGGAGATACACACTCCACACACAGTGTGTGGGCCCTCTCCGAAGGTGAGAGAGGCCTTCAAGGGGGATCTTAATGAACAAAGAAGAGATGCCCTTTGCTCTGGAAACGTTTATTTTGAAATAATTGCAAGACAAAAATGTTAAAAAAAATTGTATAGAAAAGGTCTGATTTCAGAAAAATTGTTATAGTACTGAACAACTGAATGATTTACAGGAAGAGAAGACCTACAAGATGAAAATATTATTGGAAATAACTCCTCCGGAAGATCAGCTCTTAAACAGGGTAAGGGGAGTGTGAACTGGTTATCACCTTGCAGAAGGGCATTGCAGCAACATGTATCAAAACTTTAAACAACTATTCACCTCTTTTTTTCTTTTTTTTTTTAACATTCACCTCTTTTAACCCAGTAACTCCATTTTGGGGGAATGCAGTCTAAAGAAATAAAGCTACAAAGATTCTTGTACATACATGTTCATCCCATCATTCTTTCTCAAATAGGGAAATATCGGCTGTCTGATAATAGAGAAATTGGTTAAATTAAGGCACATGCGCATAATGGAATGAAAAGTAAGCAGTCATGAAAAATGTTCTAACAATGATTCAGCATGATTTCCCACTTTTGTTTAAAAACATGTTCATTATATATATACAGATGTAACTAGGAGGAGATATACCAAAATATTCTCACGTTAATGGTCTGCTAAGAGGACATTATCTCCAGAACTTGGTGCAAATCAGTAGGACATAGTAAACGCTCAACGCATTAAAAATAATTAAGGGGACTTCCCTGGTGGCGCAGTGGTTGAGAATCTGACTGCCAATGCAGGGGACACGGGTTCCAGCCCTGGTCCGGGAAGATCCCACATGCCGCAGAGCAACTAGGCCCGTGCGCCAGAACTAGTGAGCCTGTGCTCTACAGCCCACGAGCCACAACTACTGAGCCTGCACTCTAGAGTTGGTAAGCCACAACTGCTGAAGCCTGCGTGCCTAGAGCCCGTGCTCCGCAACAAGAGAAGCCACCGCAATGAGAAGCCAGCGCACCACAACGAAGAGTAGCCCCTGCTCGCCGCAACATGCAGCTCGCTCGCTGCATGCATCAACGAAGACCCAACGCAGCCAAAAATAAATAATTAAAAAAATAAAAATAATTAAGAATAACTAGAAAATGCATATGCAAAGGAGGAAAGTTCAACCTATTTTTGGCTGAATGAACATTAGTTATCTGATTAATGGTACCATGTATGGTCTTTTCTTTATAGTTCTAGGTTGCGAATTTTCTAGAAGGGCCTTGTCATCACCTAAATTATGGGGATCACAAAGAACAGATGTTCACCCCTTGGGCGGCCTCCGACAGCAGTTGGTCGCGGGCTTGGGGAGCCGGCTCCTGGAAGCCGGGGCCTCCCTCGAGGCCCACCTGGGCGGGCGGGGCGGGGCCAGGACCGCGGCCGAAGCGCACAAAGATGGCTGGCGGCCCGCCCCGCTCCCGGCTCCCGGAGTCCGGAGCCGAGCGTTCCCGAGCGCTCCCGAGCGCTCCCGAGCGCTCCCGAGCGTTCCCGAAGCCTAGAGAAACCCCGGGAGTCGCGCGGGCGGGAGCGGCCCCGCCCCGGAGCCTGGGAGCGGAGGCGCCGGGGCGGGGGAGGGGAGGCCGGATGTGAGTGGAGCGGCCATTTCCTATTTCTCTGCAGTTTTCCCCAGCTTTGGGTGGTGGCTGCTGCTGGGCTCTGGCTTCCCGTCGGCGGAGGGCAAGGCGGCGTGGACAGCGGCCCCGGCACCCCGCGCCCCGCCGCCCGCAGCCGCGCGCCCGCCCGCCCGCCGCGCCCCGAGCTCTCCGCTCTTCGCCTCAGTGCCCGGCCGCCGCCGCCGCGGCCCAGAGAGCGGCCCAGATGCAGGCCATCAAGTGTGTGGTGGTGGGAGACGGGTGAGTGCGCGGGCCGCCCCGGGGGTCGAGGGCCGGGGCTAGGGGCCTGGCGGGCGGGCGGGCGCCGCGGGCTGGCCTGGGGCCTGGCCGGGCCTCTCCCGGGCGGGGGGCGCGGGGCGGGGGGCGTGGGCCGCCACCCTCCCCGGGACCGGACGGCGCGGCCTGGTTCCGGCTTTTTTATTTTTTTATTTTTTGGTGTGTGTGTGGTGGTGGGGGGAGGGAGGGGATCGGCGATCGGCGGCCGGAGGGAAAGTGAACTCCACCCTCCCGCTTTCTCCCCGGCCCGCTGACCGCCCGGCAGAACTCGACCCGGGCCGCCACCCTCCCTCGTTTGCCTGTAGTTTGGGTGGGTTTACGGAGTTGCCTTTCTTAAAAAAGGACCCCCTCTTGATTTTCCCATTAACCTCGAGTTTCATTGAGACCTTTCGTGGGTCCCGGCGGTCCCAGCTCGGTCGTAGGGGAGGAATATGTGCATGGGCTGGTTGGGGGTGGATCCTAAACTGATTCGCCAGGGGGTGCCTTCCGCTTGTACTTAAGCCACTTTTCTGATTTTTTAAGGGACTCTCTGTTTGCTATTAAGGTGGGGAAACTTTTAGGATTTCTAGCTGCGAGGAGCTGGGTGTGCTTAAGACGGTTCCTTTCTCGGAATGTGGTGTGGTCATACATTTAAAAAAAAAAAGGAAAGAAAAAAAAGAAAAGAAGAAGAAAAAGCTGGCCTTCGCCTCATGCGTTAGGTTTGGGATGTAGCAGAACAGCCTCCCTGAGCCGGGCCGCCCTGTGACTCAAAACAGTTCTTTTCACTACTGTCTGTGGTGGTTCCCGGCCCTAAAGGAAGACTTGTCTTAGGCAGTTTTTTCCTCCCCTGGAAACAAGAATCTCAGTGTAATCCGAGCAAAATCGTGCGTCTCAGCATGGTTCGAGTACATGAGCATTAACAAGGAAGCTCCAAGAATTACTACCAGTTGCAGCAAAGTCAGAATGCAACTGGTACCTATTTGGAGTCTTGTAAAGTCGAACGAAGAGTTCTGGCATCCCTGTACCCTAAACTTGTTATAAGGGCTGGTTTGCTTTTATGCCTCGATGAATTTATGAGTTCTCGGTTTCTTTAGATCATTGTAAATTAGACATTTGACTTGTTTCTATAACTAATTCAGATCCATGAAGGACAATCTGATTGTTTTAAAAAGATGCCCTCTGTGTGATTTGTCAGGCTCACAAATGTGAAAGATTATTGACACTTCATAGTTCTGTCCATATTATTAAAAATTGTAAGTTTCTATTTAGGAATATGTATAGTAGTTTTGTGTTTTTTAACCCTTTAAAAGAAAGCTTTAATTTGGGGGAAATGTTCAGTTAATTGGTTTAACAGTGAAATCACTAAATTCATTTAAATGAAGTTTTGATCCTTTTGCTACTGAATTAACTGAGCATATGTCACTGTCTTAGGAACATTTTAAATTATCTGAATTTCCTTTAAAAAATAAGAATGCGGAATCAGTAATACATACTAGTTTTTTTAAAGTCATATTGCTGATAATCCATTACCTAATCCTAGAATGTAATGTTCTTATTTGAAAAATTTAAAAACATATGCACAGAAGACATATTCAGTTTACTTAATTATACTTACAGACTGTGGACCTCTACTGTTTGCTTGGCTTGTTTATCTAGTTAAATACTTGTTGAATGCCTACTGTGGAATCTGGATCCTTCCTTCATATCCCCACCTCACCACTTACGGGGATACCCTGAGCATATCACTCATCCCCCAAGAGAGGTGCCTCAAGGGGAAATTGTGAGATTAAACAAGATGCTGGCTATTAAGTGCCTCACAGGTGCCTGGCCCCTACTGAGTGCTTACTGAGTGCCAGCTGCCAGTATTTTTATTATTATTGCTGTTTCTGTTACTCTGAGGCATTGCTAGGCTCTGTGGAAGGAGTGTTAGGCATAAAACACGGTGACCTAGAGTTTTCTGTCAGTTTTTTAGTACTGTATTTGACATTGATGTTGACATTAGAAGTGAAATGTACCTTTACAAAAAAAATTGAGCTGTATTACTTTAAATCAGGGCTAACATGTAGCAGACATGGCTTAAGTGAAAAATCTAGATATATACTTTTTCCATCAAAAGTATTTTCCTGCTTTTATCTGAATAAACTATATTCCTGATGGGAATGTTTTATTAAAAAATTGTTACAGCTATAAGTGCGGGTCTAAATTTTGTGGCGTGAAAGTTGCTTAATGTTATGGAATTTCAGGCAGTTAGGGGCAGTTTAAGCAGGGAAGGCAAACTGGTTGAGGTTCCACAAATTGGAGGCTTCCTTATTTTAAAAATATTCTGGTTAAAGGCTCTGTCGTAACTGTATTATAATTAGCACCAATTAGCCTATATTCTTCTTCTTTTTTTAGAACTTAGCTTCTGCCTCTGACATTGTTTTTTTTTTTTTAATTAATTAATTTTTGGCTGCACTGGATCTTCATTGCCATGCACGGGCTTTCTCTAGTTGCAGTGCACGGGGGCTACTCTTCGTTGCGGTGCGCGGGCTTCTCATTGCGGTGGCTTCTCTTGTTGCGGAGCACGGGCTCTAGGCGCACGGCCTTCGGTAGTTGCAGCACGTGGGCTCAGTAGTTGTGGCTCGTGGGCTCTAGAGTATGGGCTCAGTAGTTGTGGCACACGGGCTTAGCTGCTCCGAGGCATGCGGGATCTTCCTGGACCAGGGATGGAACCCATGTTCCCTGCATCGGCAGGTTGATTCTTAACCACTGCGCCACCAGGGAAGTCCCCAAGCCTATATTCTTCTAATGGATTATTTTCTATACACCAATTCAGTTGGCATTGAGTATCAAATGTGAGGTAAATTTTGATACTTTTTAATTGTGTTAATCCTTTTGTTGATCCTGATTCTGTTAGTCCTTCCTGAACATGGGGTTTGTCACTTTAATTTGGGGAACTTCTGCCCCACGATTTTCTCTCAGCTTTACTTAGGTAAGACAGCATCTCACATTTATGATCACCCACATTTTAAATTTTTGGCTGCACTGTGTGGCACGTGGAACTTCCCCAACCAGGGATCGAACCCGTGCCCTCTGGGTGGAAGCGCAGAGTCCTAACCACTGGACTGCCAGGGAGGTCCTGAACAGCCACTTTTAATTGTGTGTTGTTTCGGCTTTGCTTGACTGGGAGGCTGGGGGTGAGTGACTTGAGCCCCCGTTCCCCATTTCACTCCAGGTGGCGTTAGTGGTCTCTCCAGCCCAGTGTCTGATTTAGACATTGCTGTCCAGGAATTTTTTTAGTTGAGCATGATAAATGCCTTCCATGATGTCATCTTGATAGGAATGTACACCAGTTCCTGCCTACTTCCATTGAACAAGCAGTAATGGTGTGATCCATGAGTTTAAGTTTCTGCATTGCCTTCCAAATTTATGTTTAGTGTTTGAATCTGATCTTGGTTGGTAAAATTCTGTGTAATGTGTTTTTTGCTGTTGTTTTAATTTCAGGTGATAATTCCAGCTAAAAGTTTGGGGTTGGGTTCAGTGAAGGAATATCAGGAGTCCATTTTTAGAAACCTTAAAGCCACCCTTTTATAATCTGTCTTTTGCATTAGTCAGTTAATGTCTTTGTACTTCCTACTTTTTCACCTTTGCATCATCAGGTAGCTCTAACTTAGAATTGTAGTCTTCCTAGAAAGGAGATGTTTTACCAGGGATCCTGCTACCAGGGCAGTTACCACATGTCACCAGACGGGATTTTTTCTTCCACCATCTTAATGTGAAAAATGTCAAACATGGGAAAGTTGGAAGAATTGTGCAGTGAACACTCATATGCCCACCACTTAGATTCTGTAATCAAGAGTTTGCTCTATTTGCTTTATCACATGGTAACGTGTTCCCATTTGGGGGCAGTAGTTTAAGAGGATTTGATACAGAAGCTGATTTTGGAAGGAGAATGGGGGTGACACACAGTTAGATATAAATTCTTGGTTTTGAACTCTGCATCTTTAGCTGACCCATATAATCAGCTACCCCAGGGTTAGGCTTGGTGGTTCTAGAATGACAGTCTGGAGTAACGGCTGCTTCAGATTTGAACTCTATCGTAGGTGGCATCTTCAGCCTTGAGTGTTCTAGTAACCTAAGTGTTGAGAATCTGAACTTTTTGAAGCCTCCAATGGTGATAATGACTGGCTTTCTCTAAGTTGGTTGGAATGTCCCCTGTTGGTGGCAGAACATCAGAATTTCAGTTAGGGTTTTGTGTTTTTGTAGCACTAAATTGCTCTATTAATCCATACATTTTCTGAACTTAACTCTCTGCGTAGTTATACATTTACTGAAGGGCTGGTGTCTTCAGTAAACGTATAACTGAAGTCCCCAAAACCCATTTCTTGGCATAAATTGAGGACTTTCATTCAGGGTCTTTCATTAATGCAATAAGTATAAATGTATATTTGATACTTATAATTAACATTCCACTACATTCTATTAATTTGTTCTTAAGATCCTAGGTACTTTTAGGGGTTAGGGGAGGGGGAATTAGAAGGGAGTCAGAAGGAACAAAATTCCAGTTATAAATAAGTACTAGGTATGTAATGTACAACATGATAAAGGTAATTAACACTGCTGTATGTTATAGATGAAAGTTGTTAAGAGAATAAATCCTAAGAGTTCTCATCACAAGGAGAAAAATTTTTTTCTATTTCTTTGATGTTGTACCTTTAAGAGCTGATAGATGTTCACTAAACCTATTGTGGTAATCATTTCATGATGTATATAAGTTGAATCATTGTTAAACGCCTTAAACTTATATAGTGCTGTATGTAAAATATACCGCAATAAAACTGGGGAAAAAAAGATCTAGGTACTTTTAGACAGCAATACAGGCTCCTTAGTTTGGTTTACAATAGTCATTGGAGAAATCTGGTTTTTCTGTCCTACTAAGATCAATTTATCTTTTTTATTTTTTTTAAGGCAATGCAGAATCTTCTTCTTTTTGAGTTGCCTGGATCCCTTACTTTTTTCTTTTCTTTCTTTCTTTTTTTTTTTTTTGGTCTGCTCTGGGTGGTGTGTGGCATCTCATTAGTTCCCCCATCAGGGCTCGAACCCATGCTCCCTGCAGTGGAAGCACAGAGTCTTAACCACTGGACCGCCAGGGAAGTCCATCCCTTACTTTTTTAAAAAAATAAATTTATTTATTTTATTTTTGGCTGCATTGGGTCTTCGTTGCTGTGCGTGTGGTCTTTTCTCTGGTTGCAGCGAGCGGGGGCTACTCTTTGTTGCCTTGCGAGGGCTTCTCATTGCAGTGGCTTCTCGTTGCAGAGCAAGGTCTCTAGGTGCATGGGCTTCAGTAGTTGTGGCACGTGGGCTCAGTAGTTGTGGCTCACAGGCTTTGTTGCTCTGCGGCATGTGGGATCTTCCTGCACCGGGGCTCGAACCCGTGTCCCCTGCGTTGGCAGGCACATTCTTAACCACTGCACCACCAGGGAAGCCCCATCCCTTACTTTTTTAATGTGAGGAAATTGCCAGTGTTTACAGATTTATCGATTTTTATGTGCTTTTAAGTTTTGGCTTATAGGTTTCAGGAAGTAACACTGAAGTTTACCAAAAATTTTTTAAGGAAACGTTTTCCTTGAGGTTCTCCTAATGGAAAAATAAAGGACATAGTAGGAACATAATTTACTGGCTTTGGTCTTGATTATTTCTACAGGATAGAGCAGAAGCATAGGTTAAAAAAATGTGCTCAATTGCCGTTAGATTAAAATGTTGTGTGATGACTCACTGTCACTTAAAACTTAAATAAATATTTTCTATCTACACTGTCAACTTTGTAACCCGTAAAAAAACTAGTAACAGTTGCGATTATTTATCACAAATAAGATACTTCTTAAATTAAAAAAAAATGTGTTTATGTGAATGTTCTTCTAGTAGACTCATTCACTTTCTAGAGTTACAGCATCTTTCAAAGATTAAAAAGAGACCGAACCGAATAGTTAAATATATAAAATTGGAAATTCCAAAGCAAATAGTAACTTCCAGAAATTATGCAGCAGCATCAGTCAAGGCTGACCAAATAACTGCTTCTATTCTTTATGTGGGGAAAAGCTGTGACTTTGTCTAGAGCCGATGTTGACTTTGGCCTCTAGCATTTATTTGTGGAGTGTGTTTAAAAGCGGTGAATAAATACACTAATGGGAGGTAAATAACCTTTTCTTTTTATCTGTTTTTTAAAATTAAGTAAACATTTAAATCAAAGGTTGGACATGTACTTATTTAAAAAAAGTCAGAATTTTATACTTTACTAATTTTCTTATAGAATACATCTAATAGAATACATCATTTTTAGCAAATGATGATTGGTAATAAAATTTCATTTATTATCAGGTGATGCCAGTACCTTGAATTCCTTTACAGTTAAACCTTTCAAAAGATGAAGGCTCAGCTGAAGGTGGAGTTTCAGGAAAAGAAATTTTGGAGCATTTAAAACACAGTTGGTGGTATTTATAGTGATGGCTTTGTTCCTCGTGCATAGAGGAGAGACTTAGGACAGGGTCTCTGAAGTGAAACTGTGATATTTTAACATAACAGTTAAAACTTTTAGAGCTTCTTGTCTTTGACATTAAGAGGCAATAACTATTAACATTTTTACACAGCAACATTTGTAATTTTGAAAAGAGATTCACTTATCCTGGCCTTAGAGTCCACTCTCTTCCTCAGCTACCACATCCAGCCCCTGGCCAAGCCACGCTTGTTTTGCCCCACATCTCGGTAGCTCTTGAAGTGGCCCACTTCTCTGCACCCTGAAACCCCCTCCACGGTCCAGGCCACCAGGGCTGGTTCCTGGAACACAGTGGCAGCTGCTTCCTTGTTTTCAGCCTCCAGTTTCAACTTCTTTGGTCCTCTTTCCACATTGTCATCAGAGGCTGCTTCTGAAAATGCAAATCTAATGGTTTCTCGGCAACAAAAATCTTCTGTTACTTCCCAAGTAGCATCAAGTTCCAGGCCCTTAACGAGAAGAGAGGACAACTTCTTCAGATTTCCCTCTGCCACTTGCCCATTCTTTCTTCGTCCTTCAGTTTTACTGGGCTTCTTGTAGTCTGGGTCTCGCCACGTGCTGTTGCGTTTGCCTAGAATGTTCCTCCTTGCTGTGTCCCCACTCATCAGTCTCAATGACATTGCTGCCGCCTCTGCCCCCAAGACTAGGTTAGATCCCTTTGCTGTCCATCTCCAGAGCATCTTTAGTAACACTTATCACACCTATAATTTTGTGTAATGACTGCATTTTTCATTTTTTAGTTTAGTAACTGCATAAGTTCCATGAGATCTTGTGCGTTGCAGTGTCTTTAGCACCTAGTATACTTCTGGCATAGCACCCAGTTTGTTGGTATAGATTGAAATTGCATTAATGCTCACAATAGTTTGGTGATGGAGTTGGTAGTTTTGTATCCATCTTACAATTGAGAAAACTGAGGCATAAGGAAGTTGAAACTTAAACAATTCCAGCCAGTAAGTGGTAGAGTTGGCTATGGGTCGCACATCTGGGACAGTGACTTCAGATATCTCAGACTCCTACTCATTCAGGTTTTTTTTTTTTTTTTTTTTTAACATTCTAAGCTTTTAACAAAATGTATGGCCAATGAGTCATTTCTGTTTAGAAAGCCTTTAGGAGTTGGACGCTAGCTCCTGATGATGTCATGTTTGACTATGAGGTCTTTGGGGTGAGGGAGTTCCAGCTTTTGTTAAGCCTTGATAATGTTATGAGTGCAACAAGTATTGGCAAGACTGCCTGGGCCTGTATGTAATCTGCTCTTGTTGAGAGGTTTTTGCTAAGAGTGCAAGGAAAATAGAAAATCACTTAACTTCTTTATTGTGAGTCCTAATTTATAGTAGTAGTTGAGATTGAACAACAAAATCTTATGACTCAGAGCTCCAGTGTATCTCGTGACCTTGGTGAGCCAACAGAGGACAGCAGGGAGATGGGCCCGTGTAAGGAGCATTTATTTGGTGAGCCCTTGGGAGGCCAGGGACTCTGAGAAGCCCCTGAAGCCACCCTGTGAATGTTGTAAAATTTAGAGAATGTGTGTTGGCTACTGGTGCAGTGATCGTCTTAATTTTTAGGTGATACCCCCCTGAAAAATTTTCCAAGTGGTTGGGAGACTTTCATCACCGCCCTGGCACCCTGTATCTGCTTCCAGTTGTGCGGGAGGCCCTCCTGTCTCGGGAGTATTTCTACACTCTTCTCTGTTACTTCTCCTCTTTGCAGCTGTTTGGGAAGCTTACTCCAGCGTCCCTGAGCCATTAATTAATATGTCTGGAATGTAATGTGTTAGCTGCTCTAAAAGTTTATGGTGGGGCTTCCCTGGTGGCTTAGTGGTTGCGAGTCCGCCTGCCGATGCAGGGGACACGGGTTCGTGCCCCAGTCTGGGAAGATCCCACATGCCGCAGAGCGGCTGGGCCCGTGAGCCATGGCCGCTGAGCCTGCGCATCCGGAGCCTGTGCTCTGCAACGGGAGAGGCCACAACAGTGAGAGGCCCGCGTACCAGGAAAAAATAAAAAAAGTTTATGGTGGATGTGAGGATGTGGCAAGGTGGCACGTGAATGCAGATGAATTAAAGTGAGAGCAGTTGTGTGTGGTGGTTGGTAACTAAGCACTCTCTTTAGAGAACAGCTGTCACTGATGGCCAGAGGGAAGGCTTTAGGAAGGTGGTGGGATTTGAGCTGCCACTCGGAGGCAGCAAAATATATTACTTAGCAACAAAATGGAAGCTGGAGAGGAAAGCTATGTTTGCATATTAGTATTCATCAAAATAATTTGAGGATAGATTTGCAGATTCTTGGATGAAAGCCTTCTAGAGATCTTCACAGAAGAGACTTTCAGTTTAAAAATACTTTTCCCGGGGACATCCCTTGTGGTGCAGTGGTTAAGAATCTGCCTGCCAATGCAGGGGACACGGGTTCGATCCCTGATCTAGGAAGATCCCACATGCTGCGGAGCAGCTAAGCCTGTGTGCCACAACTACTGAAGTCCACGCGCCTGGAGCCCGTGCTCCGCCACAAGAGAAGTCACCAAAATGCCCATGCACTGCAACGAAGAGTAGCCCCCGCTCGCCGCAACTAGAGAAAGCCCGTGCGCAGCAACGAAGACCCAACACAGCCATCAATCAGTCAATTTAAAATACTGTTCCTGTTCAACCTTGTGCTTATTAACGAGTATTTCCTGACTACTAGTGCTAACACCTAAAGCAGAAGCAGAGTGTGAAGCCTCTGGACTCTGCCTTTCTGAGTAGTTCTAGTTTGTTTACTTTAAATTTCAGGATAAAACTATGTGTAGTGTTAAATAAAAGGTTATAGAAACTCTTTAGCGCTAAGTACTTGATGTATATACTTCTTGATTTTTCTGTAAGTTATTTTCACCGAATAATGAAATCTAAGACTGCATTCATGTTGACTAAGCAACTTACACCATTTTTTTCTCTCTTTAGAGCTGTAGGTAAAACTTGCCTCCTGATCAGTTATACGACCAATGCCTTTCCTGGAGAGTATATCCCCACTGTGTAAGTATCCTGAGTTAAACTGGAAATTAACTTGTCTGTCATTCGTTGCTTTGGATTCTATTGACCTTTGTTCTGCTCTTTCTTAATCCTTATGCAAACAGATGTGATTAATTTTCCTTTCAGTCACTGAGGTCTCATTATAAGGTATTTGGACTTTTAAAAAATACTTAATGCAGGGGCTTCCCTGGTGGCGCAGTGGTTGAGAATCTGCCTGCTAATGCAGGGGACACGGGTTCGAGCCCTGATCCGGGAAGATCTCACATGCCGTGGAGCAACTAGGCCCGTGAGCCACAACTACTAAGCCTGCGCATCTGGAGCCTGTGCTCTGCAACAAGAGAGGCCGCGATAGTGAGAGGCCTGCGCACCGAGATGAAGAGTGGCCCCCGCTTGCCACAACTAGAGAAAGCCCTCGCACAGAAACGAAGACCCAACACAGCCAAAAATAAATTTAAAAAAAAAAGTAACAAATGTTCAAGTACAATTGGTGTCTTTAAAAAAAATAATAATAATCTAACGTAAAGTTTCTGCACAGTGATGAAGCACACAGCTTTCCTAATTGGTTTTTAGATATTCGGGAAGTGAAAGTTAAACCAACTGTGAAGTACAGAGACTGGATAATATAAGAGTTTCGGATAAGTTTGGCTTTCTGGGCTCTGTGTGAAGGGTCAAGGAACTGGAACAAAATACTCCATTATGTTTTAATTGGCCTTTTCTGGCGAGTAATTCAACGGTTACATGTCACTGTTGAGTTATTGGGCTTTGGAATTGAAATCAGGGTGTGTGTGCGTGGTGGGGTGTAGAGTGGGGGGACGGATGGGAGGACGGAATCAGCTACTGAGCTGCTTATTCCCTGTTGGCAGCAGAACTGGGCGGGGGTGGAAAAGTGCTTTTCTGATGGTGGGGTTACCAGGGAGCCTCGTAACGCACCGCCCTGCTGCTGGGAGCTCTGTCCTCATGGCTGCGGTGCTGGTGGAGAGGAAACGCCTCACTTCCCACTGTGCTCACCCCCTCAGTCACAACAGGCACATCTCGGTGTCCTGTGTGTGTTTTAACGTAAGTGGGATCACACTGTCCTGAATTTATGGTGGGGACTTTCTTAATCTCCACATGTAGCTAGAGCTAAATCATTAACAGCTGTTATTGACTAAAGTGCTGTAGCGGACTTAACCACTGGTCACTTGGCATTGCAAACAGGGCTGGCTAAATATCATTGCACGTGTCTTTGTGCACATGTGATAGATAATTGGAGGAACTGTGGCAAAGCAAAGGAACGGACACTTTATACTTTGATAGATGCTACACAGTTGCTGTCCCACAGGCTGTCACTTTGAGCAGCTGTGACTGAAACACCCCCTTCATACATACTGTGGTTAACATGAGTTAAAAAAAGTGACCTCATCATTTGCATTTCTGGTCACCGGTGAGGTTAAAATCGTTTGAATGTTTTCTGTCCATATATAATATTCTGTGAATTGCCTTTTGAAATCCCTTGCTTGTTTTTCCACTGAAAATTCTTCTTACTGTTGGAACTGTGTGAATGAGAAATATTTATCCCTCTGTCTCTCATTTGTCTTTGAACTTTGTTATGGTGTCTTCTGCTTTTTTATGTAAACATGCCATCCTACCTTTTCCCTGAGTTTAATGTCTTATTAAAAATGTTCTGTAGGATTTTTGTAGCTGAAGTTTTTATTTTTCATTCATTTAGAGTTTATTTTTTGGTATGGTATGAGGCAGGAACCTGATTCTTCTTCACAGGTTGAAAAGAAAAAAAGTCCCAGTACCGTTTATTGAATAATCTATCATCTTCCCACTGAAGCGGAAATACAGCATATGAGACCTTTTCTTTGTGAAAGCTGGTTTGGTCATTAACTTTTATAAATCACAATGGAACTTACTCAGACCATGACTTTGCTGTCACAGTGTAGTAAGATCCTAAGTTTTAGTCTTAAGTATGCAAAAATTAATTCTGGAATTCTATTTTAAAGGCTGATGTGTTGTATTCTGCTTGGCACTTGCCCTGGTTTACCTTGTGAAGCCAGATTTTAATGAGCTACTTCATGGTACTCGCCGTAATTTTTTAATGTCAACCTTATTTTCCCCCTGTCAGCTTGTAGACCTTCTAGGCTTCCTCTTATAGATAAACTAATTTGTGTGTAGCAGCCTCAAATTAATTTAAATACCTGTGTGAACTCACTTTGAAAGCGTTACACCATAGCTTCTCAGATCCAGTTTGCTTTGCGTTACCCTGCACTTTGGTCGCAAGGTGGATGACCAAGGCTCATCTTGGGGGGGGGGTGTTGTTCCGGAAACACTGCCAGCGCAGCCGTCCTGGTGTGCCCCCTAACTGAGAATGACTCACACGTGTACATGGAAAAGTCAACACGTGGGGTTTGAAAGAGGGATTAATTTTATACTTTATTTCTTCCTGGGGAGAAAAACTTTAATGCTCTCTTCATTAAAGGCAAGCAGGTTTTTATTGCTGACAGCGACTTGTTTTGGTTAAATTTAGTAGCTTGTTCCTGTTTCTCGGGTGTTTTTCTCAAGTGCTGCCTTTGTTTCCCTTACACTCCAGTTCCCGTTTTCCCTCTGCTTCTCAGCCCTTGGGAGCCTTGCTTCGCACCTGCAGGCTGGGCTGGGCACCTGCTGGCCTGGTCGCCTCTGGGCCTGCCTCGGCCTCCCCAGCTTTCTGCCCCCGCGACCCCAGCCTGGGCACCACTCAGCTCCCAGGTCTGTGCCTTGTGCTCCACGGCTAGAGACTAACCATTTTCACTCTGTTCCACAGCTTCGACAACTATTCTGCCAATGTTATGGTGGATGGAAAACCGGTGAATCTGGGCTTGTGGGATACAGCTGGACAAGAAGATTATGACCGATTACGTCCCCTATCCTATCCGCAAACGGTAAGGAGCATGACTGATTTTTAGTTTGTCCTTTACAATTCCTGATTATTTAATTAATTCATATCACCTCTGGATTTGCTTATATTGCCATCTTTTGGGTATATCGAGTAATAACAAATAACGTTAAATTAGTTCAATAGTGAATATCCGCCTGGATGCAAACCACGGTTTTGCTTGTTTTTATTTTTTGAGCATTACCAGTTATTAACTACGGCGCTGTGCGTTTTACATTCTTCCGTGTAGTTTTAGGACAGCCGTCTGAAATAGGTATTGATTGTTTTGTTTTGACTAAATAGTTTTAAGAGCAGTTAGTTTCTAGATGAGTTTGCTTTGTGACAGTTTTGTACCACAGAATCAAATTAAGCAGTGAAGGTTAAGGTTTCTTTAGATCAAGTTAGTAACTAATCTAACAGGTTTAATGCTGTTTTTCTATAAAATACATGTTCATTTTTTGCAGCTTTAGTACCTAAATCTTCTCAATGTAGATTGAGGTTTTAGCTTTATAAAAATGTGTCCACCGTGTCCAGTCAGAAAATTGTTAGATTGGGTTTGCTTGCCTACCAGCTGCCAGCTCGTCTCTACCAGAGCTAATTATATGGAGCCGTAGCCGTAGCTAATTATTATATGGACACATGGTCAGAAGCCACTTTTCTCTCAATAAGCAGTTGTCTTACTTGTATCATTTGCTTCTCGTTACATGTCTGTTCTTTGTTTTAAAAGTGCTTTTTAAAACAGCTGTGGAGGGTTAGTGACTAACTGGCCAGGGCAGTTTGCACAGAGGCAGTTGAGCGAATTCCTCGGGTTCAAATTCCGCCCTCCCCTTCCTCGCCCTGTGACTGGGCAGGTTTCTTCACCTCTAGGCCTGCCCCGTTCCTCGCAGGGCTGGATGAGTATAGATGTAGCGCGTAGAGCACGTAGAACAGCCCCAGGCGTGTCGCTGCTGTTGGGACTCCTCCTTGTGTTTGTGTAGCTGTGCTGGTAGATGTGGGGAGGCCCTCGGTTCCGAGCTGCATCCAGAGGAGAGGAAGATGCAGGACTCGCTCTCAGCGAGCCGGGCAGCCAGAGGGGTTGGGGTCAGGGAAACATCCCGGAGAAGACAGGCCTCCGCCCTTGCACTGATTTAATTATCACTTTGTTCTGGGGGGGAGTGTGAGTGAAAAGAAGTAATTAGTTCTAGTCTACCCAAATCTTGTTTTTTTTGCTTTTGAAATATGGCTTTTTCCAAGCAAAACTTATTGTCTTTTCCAGTTGCTTTCTGCTAGAGGAATTGCCAGGTTTCTTTCTTTCTTTCTTTCTTTTTTTGGTCCGTGGCATGTGGGATCTTAGTTCCCGACCAGGGGTTGAACTTGCACCCCCTGCATTGCAAGTGTGGAGTCTTAACCACTGGACTGCCAGGGACGTCCAGGCACAGTTTCTTTGAGCTGTAGATTTTTGCTGATTGTCCTTTAGCTGAATTCTGGGAAGAGTGCTAAACAAAGACCAAAACCATGAAATAGGAGGCTTGAATTGGCTGGCTTCTCAGTTAATCTCCAGGTAAAAGTTAACTGTGATTATGTATTAAAAATCAGCCCATAGGGCTTCCCTGGTGGCGCAGTGGCTGAGAGTCCGCCTGCCAATGCAGGGGACACGGGTTCGTGCCCTGGTCCGGGAGGATCCCACATGCCGCGGAGCGGCTGCGCCCGTGAACCATGGCCGCTGAGCCTGCGCGTCCGGAGCCTGTGCTCCACACCGGGAGGGGCCACAACAGTGAGAGGCCCGCGTACCACACACACACACACACAAAATCAGCCCATAGTCACCAAATGGTTTGAATTCTTCAGTATTTTTCAGTAGAATAGTTTAGGAAACTGTTCCATCCCCAGTGGGTGCTTGCTGAGTCCAGGTTTCAAAGGCATCTGCGTTGAGTGGTAGAGTAGGAGTCCCCAGTCAACTGGATACATCTGGGAGGGCGGCGTGTCACCACTGAGAAATGAGAACCATCTGCTGTGACTCGGGGGGTCCAGGGCAGGGTGCGGCTTCTTCCTTTGAGGCGGTCACTCACAGTAAGTGCAAGGTGACTTGGCAAGATCCCCACTTTGCATGCTGAAGAACACCTAGATAAGCGACACATTGAATCAGGCTGTAGTGTGTGAGGCCTGAAATCCAAGTGGGTGTTGTCCTTTCGGGGCCAGGACTTGAACTTTTCACATCCCATCTGGGGAAGGCAGTGGACCTGCACCGCAGTGTGTAACCCACCCCTTGCCAGCTTAGGAGCAAAGAGGGGCGGGCACCCCACTAGCAGTTAAAGCTGGGCCTGCCTGGGCTCCTTTGGAGACGAGAGGGTTCTCTTGGCTACTGAGGGCCGCCCCGAGCGCTGAGACGCTGGGGCCTGGAGGGTCTCCTTCCTTGGGCCATGCTGTCCTGCCAGGAGGAGCAGACCCTGGAAGTGGCAGGCTGGCACCTGGATTTCTTCTTGGCAAAGAGAAACCTCTGAACTTTGTATTAAATGAAGCCCGGTCTCTGGTTTGCAGGCTGTTTCTGTGGCTCATCCATGACACTGCCCTGACCCATGCCTGAAGGGCCAGCTGGATGATTTCATACAAAGGTCTCCCCACTCTCTAGGTCTTCGTGACCTACAAAGAGATGTGTATTTCCTGTGGTCATTTAATCCTGGCATCCTCTGTGTGGCTGAGTTAAAACTGTTTAAACCATTAGCTTCCACTTGGTTCTCCAAAAGGTGGTGGGCACGGGGTCATCATTCGGAGCGGTGAGGTCCAGCCCCCTCATTCTCCTGGGAGAGGCTGGTCCATTTGCGGACGGCTCTGCCGGCAGGCGGGCGGACGGGCAGGAGCGCCGAGGGCTGCTGTCATTTTGGGGCCTGTGAGGGAGATGGGGCTGCGGCACAGGAGTCAAGGTCGGTGGAGGCCCAGGGGCGTCTGGTGTGGGGAGGACAGGCCGCCACGGAGGGAGAGTAGCCTTCAGACCAAAGGGGAGATGGGCCTGAGACCCAAGACAGCAGCTCAGGAGGAATGACGCCGCTCCAGGACACGAGAGTGACCCTGTGAGGAGGGCTGAGGACAGAAGGACAGCGCGTCAGGTCGGAGAGCAGAGGTGGGAGGGACTGGACGCCTGAAGGTTAGTCGTCAGAAGCGCTAGAGGCGTTTTCTTCAAGCCGAGTTTGGGCTGGGGGCAGAAGGAAGAGGAAGGAACAGGCAGACGGTGTCACGTTAATGTGGGACGGAAAGCATGTTCTTCTCCATCAGAAAGATGTTCTGAAAGATGCAAAAGGGTAGAACAGATGTGGTTAAAGGGTATTTTGAAGCTGAGTTTTTGTGGCCAATCCCCATGAGTCCCTGTATCACAATGAAGCTTTGGCATCACTTCAAGGTCTCCGGAGGACCAGGCTTCAAAAATAGCCCATAGATCAAATCAGGATAGTTAGAGAGACTTTAACATTCGCTTTAAATTGTAAATCGGAGAAGCTTGAGTGAGATGAAATTAAAATAGTTGTCTCGCCTGTCTTTCTCTCGATTCTAGAATTCCAGGTTCTCTGTTGCTGAAGAGCAGGCCTTCAGTTCTTACTGGATCAGAGGAGTGAATTGAAAGCACAGTGGTACACGCTGGAAGTGCGGTCCCTCTGGGCGGCCCCTCCATGCACACGGGGGGCGGGAGCAGCGCTGTCCTTTCAGTAGAGCGGGTCCCTGCATTGGAGCCGCACTCCCGTGAGGTCACAGCCCTCACACCCGGCAAGTTGCTGGGCTCCTGTCTGAGAACTTGGCCGGAGAGCTTTAAGAGGTGTGTCGTTGCTGATGGACGCCCTCGCTGAGGGTGGGACACCCCTCTGGCATGTCCTTGCTGAGCAGAAGCCATGGGCTTCATGCTGGGGAGGGAACCTCCCTGTGCCACCACAGGTTGAAGCGCGCCTCGGTCTCCACCGTCTCTGACCTTCACAGAGTGATGGAGCGATTCAGCAGCGCCTGGCGTTATAGACCCGCTAGATCATCATCTGCTTTTAGATCCCTTGGGAGGGTTGAGACAAAATTCAGATGAAGAATAGGTAACTGGTTATATTGATTTTTCTTCTCGCTTTTTACTAAACTCAAACAAAGTTCTCATGCATTACTAGGTTGGAGAAACGTATGGTAAGGATATACCCTCCAGGGGCAAAGACAAGCCGATTGCCGTATGTAAAACTTTCAATCGACTTCAGTTTCAAGCTTTATCTGTTCTCTCGTTTCACTTAGTTTTCCTAGGATTTCCTATTGAGCCTCACGTTCCTTGAGTGTTTTATATTTAACGCACTCAAGGTTGGGGTTTTGCCTGATAGTTTACCTACTGGCTTGAATCAGAGCAGTGTGTGAACTGCTTTCCTCCCCCTCCCAGGGGACAGGAGGGACTGTCGTGCAAGGGCCCCTGTCCAGGCTGGTTGGGGAAGGAGTGCGGAGGCTCTACCTTGCAGCTCACGTGGCCCGAGTGCTTGGCGGGAGCGGGACTAACCACACTGCGGGCCCTCCTTCCTCCCGCTTTGGTGTCCGGTGCAGGGCCTGTCGGGCGAGTCTGCGCGACGCTGGTGAGCTAACCCACCCCTGCTTTGAGATGTTGTGATCAGCCCAGGTGCCGAGATGCTGTGGTGATTCTTGGACGAGCTTGTGCATGTGCTAGCATTTTCAGTGTCGTTTACGAAAAGCTGTTGTGTGGGATGTTTCTTCCCTTTCAGGTACAAGATAGCAGCTGGATGATCGCAAGGAACTTGGGAATTGTGTGCCTTTCACAGAGTAGCCTAATTGCCTTTTTCCAGGAAAGTGTTTCATAAATCTAGCATTTTAGAAACTCGTAGGCATTTTTTAACATGGGTAAATATTTAAATTTCACTTTTTCTTTTTTGGCCACGCCTCGTGGCACGCGGGATCTTCGTTCCCTGGACCAGGGATCCGACCTTTCCCCCCCTGAAGTGGAAGCGCAGAGTCGTAACCACTGGACTGCCAGGGAAGTCCCAAATTTCACTTTTTACACAACACAGTGCAAGCTTTCCGGAGGCCCTCCTTGGGTCTGAGAAGCTCTGACAGCTGGCAAGACGCCCCTTACATACCAGATCATCCTCCCTCCCAGAGGGACGTGCCTGTTTAGCGAATTCTTGAGACCCGGCTTTATGCCTGGGACTCTGACTGCAGTTCTTTAAGAAGCAGTTTAATTGGAACCCAGTGACCATCTAAAAATGTTTGTACTTAAGATTCTGATGGGAGCGTAATGAAAAGCATACCATTTGAGGATAACAGTTTTTAATTTGAATCTGCTTTTGACGGACTGAAACCAAGTTTTATAGAAATATTGCCATAGTACCTGCCACTCGTTCTTGTCCCCGTGTAGTAACAGAGCATCAAGTTAGTTCCCAGTGGGAGCTGGGAAGGATGGAAAAGAGGCCTCCCAGGGGTCTGAATTTGATGTCTCTCTGTAGCCTCGAGTAACTTACAGCATATTTCGTACTCCACTCCCCTTCTCACTGGTAACTGGTGCTTCACATGCTGGTTCTGGTCTGGGAGCGTCTGACTACACTGCAGGCATGTCGGGGAGAAGGCGTATGCCCTGGCCCCATGCTTCCCTCCCAGCAGCACTCAGGAAGCCAAGTGCATTCCTCACTGTGAGACCGTTTTCTGACACCTCCCTGTCTTCTTTTATAGGATGTATTCTTGATTTGCTTTTCTCTTGTGAGTCCTGCATCATTTGAAAATGTTCGTGCAAAGGTAAGTGGGATTTTTTAGGAAAATATTTTGTTACATAATGTCACTCTCAGGAAGAAACATTAAAAAATAAAATACCATTTACTGATAGAAACTTTCAGTTATTTGAGTTGATTTTAGTAATTCTACTACTTAGGTAATTTTTTACATAAGTCATCAGTTTTTTAGGTACATGACTTGAGTATGCAGAGTTCTAAAGTCTCAAGGTCTGATTCAGAAGTGCCGTGTTCCTGGTTAAAATAATGAAGCACTTCGGAGTCGGTCTAATAAAAATAATGACCATACTTTCTACTCTGGCATCTTTCATGAACGTAGTGAAAATGACGGGTGAGAGGCCCTTCAGTTGGGATCGGGGACGTGTCTGGTGGGGGTAATGGCGGCAGAGCTGAGACCTGGGTCCAGATAGTTTTATTCTCATCCTTGAATACGTAAGGGATTTTGAGATGACCTAAGAACCTGGCCTGTTTTACCAAAAACAAAGTAGTTGGGTGGGGGGGTGGGGGGGTTGTCCTTCCTCTCTCCTCTCTCACGGACAAGTATAGCTGTCAGTAGGGGCGTGAGTCCTGGGCTCCAGGCTGGCTAGGCACACACCGCAGCCAGTCGGTGGTTCTGGAGGGTGTGAGCTAGGCAAGGGGACGCGGTGACCAAGTGGGTGGTTGATGCAGTTGGGCACCTGTGTGGATACAGTTCAGGCGAGGGCGGTTCCGAAGGAGAGGCTGACTGCCTCCTCTGCTGGTGCCTAGTGGTACCCTGAAGTGCGACACCACTGTCCCAACACTCCTATCATCCTGGTGGGGACGAAACTTGATCTGAGGGATGATAAAGACACGATTGAGAAACTGAAGGAGAAGAAGCTGACACCCATCACCTACCCGCAGGGCTTGGCCATGGCCAAGGAGATCGGTATGGAACCCCCCATTGTCATGTCTGCTTTGCCCACGTTTTTATTTTCGTGATGGAGGCTGCAGTCCCGCCTGGGGGAGTGGACTCGGGGTCTGGCTTGCCTTTCGGGACCCCGCAGAGCAGGGCCCTCGGTGCCGTGTCAGGGTGGGGGGCGCCCCCGTTCTGATCTGAGGGTGAGGCTGTGTTTCCCACAGGTGCCGTCAAATACCTGGAGTGCTCGGCGCTCACGCAGCGAGGTCTTAAGACGGTGTTTGATGAAGCTATCCGGGCGGTTCTCTGCCCGCCCCCCGTCAAGAAGAGGAAGAGAAAATGCCTGCTGTTGTGAATGTCCGGGCCCCTCCCGCCTGTCCCTGTCCCCCAGGACCCTTTGTACGCTTTGCTCAAACGGTGGAGCCTTCGCACTCAATGCCAAGTTTTTGTTACAGATTAGTTTTTCCATAAAACCGTTTTGAACCAATCAGTAATTTCTAGGTTTTGTTTGTTTAAGGTGTAAGAGTTCAAACTTTCACATCCTATTAAAGTTTAGCCCTAAGATGACAAGCTTCCTTAAAGCCTTATTTCTCAAAGCCCCTATTCTTGCTCAGATTAAGAGTTGCCAAAATACCTTGTGAACTAAGTTGCATTGTTGGGCTAAGAACACTAAGCACTAAACTGTTCAAAGACCTTTGTCTGGAAGAGACTAGCTTCTGAGGCAGGAGATGCAGACGCTCGCTAATGAGTTTCAGACGCGAAGAGCAGTACAGCCTCCTTCCTGAAACGTTGCCATTTAATGCATCCTGATTTACCAGCCCATGTTCACTACCTAACACTGTACTGTACATCATAATGAACGAGTGTAACAGCTCAGCTCTTTGGATCAATCGTTTTGATTTCGTAGTGAGATTTTTAAAACAAATTAGTGTATTAGCTTTGGTGAGATTTTGAACAGAGCTTTTACTGCCGTGTTCCCTCCGATGAAGCATTCTGCTCTGGCCGCGGGTGCACTGGGTGGAGTGTGTGGAACACTTGTGATCAGAGGATGAAAACAGTATTTTAACAAAATATGGAGATTAATTTACACTACATTGTATACGTAATAAACTATTAAAAGTGTCACGGGTAAACGTTTTAAAAGGTTAATTTCTGTCAAATGCAGTAGATGATGAAGAAAGGCCGGTATTATCAGTAAGTGTTTTCTTAAGCTTTTCCTTAAACGTGCCCATCCCTCCTGAAATTGGGCATTTAATCCATCTTTGACCTCATCATTCTCATAGTTGCTAACTTAGTAAGTGCTTTTCTTATAGAACCCCTTCTTAATGAGCAATATGCCTCCTTGTATTATAAAATCGTTCTGAATATGCATTAGAAAATTTTTTTTGTAGATTAGTAAAAGTGCATTCCTGTTTTCATGTTACCTTATCCAAAGCTAGTAAGTGCTTTCCTTGGTTTTCTAGTAACTAGGTGTAAAAATCCTATGTTGCAGCTTTACAGTTTTTAAAATACTTAGATATTCTTAAACTGTAAACCCTGCCAGATCACCGACACTGCACCTGGACTAATAACACTGACCGCCTCTTGCCTCACAGCGTGCACACGCTTCCTGTCCTTGCCCTAACGATGTTCCTTGGGGTCTGTGAGGTTCTGTCAACCCCGTGCTCGTGCTAACGAAGTTCTGTACAACTTACCCACTGGCAAGAATACGAGCTTGGACCTTTCAACCACTAGAACAAAATTTTTTAAATTGACGGTTGCAGAATTGTGGAGTGTTTTTACATTGATCTTTTGCTAATGCGATTAGCAGTATGTTTTGCATGTATGACTTAATAAATCCTTGAATCATGATTGGTAATACTGGAGTTCTTGAGAGCTTGGGGAACCACCTGCTGGGGTATGTGTTTGTTTGCCTCCCTGTAAAACCCTGGGTCGTTGGATGTTCATTTCCAATGCATGTTTTCGTGGTGGGGGGACAGGGAGCAGTCTCTCTACGGGGAGAAGACGGAGGAGCCAGCAAACAAAGAGGGGGCGTTGAGTGACGTTCGGTTTGAGACCTGGCGAATGTTGGTGAGACTCATGTGATGTCCACGCGGGGACGTGTGTCAGCATGTCGGACCAGAGCTCTGGGCTGAAGATGCACATGTTGGAACCCGAACTGGCAGCCTGGTAAGGTGGAGACTGACGATATGACTTTAAGATCCTTTCTAGAGCCTAAACTTATACTATCAACAGTTCATGTTAGAAGCAGTTTTTTAAATCCTCTTTTTTATTGCTTGGAAGAGTTTTTTTTTTTTTAAACCAAAGATAAACAATGCAGTTTTAAGACCAAATCTAAAGATTTGCTACAAAAACAGCAGTCTTCCCCCTTCGCACCCTCCCCAGAGGCACCCATTTGAGTTCTCTTAGGTAATTCTTCGTACTTGTCTTCACATGTCTAAAGCATGTGCTTGCTTTTTTCTCTTTTACTTACCAGATGACTGGTTTATCATAAAAGGATGTAACTCGGGAACAGCCAGACGGAAGAGATGTAGAGGGCAAGGTATGGAGGAAGGGCTGGGCGCTTCCCTGGGTGCACGGCTCTCCCCACATCTCCATGTGTTCCCCAACCCGGAAGCTGTCCAAACCAGGTCCCTTCGAATTTTCTGGAGGCTTCAGTTCAGTCACTGGCCATTGGTGACCGATTGAGCTGTCAGCCCCTCCCCTCCCCGGGGCTCAGGCTGAGCTGGGTGCTCCGCTGGAGTTTCAGTTCCAGCCACCACTGACGACGTCCCCTCCCCGGTGGGGATGCAGTAGCTCTTAACCAGCCGTGACCCCAGCCTCAACACACCTTTCCCACCCCTTCAGTACAGTCGTTGGGGTTGGCGCTGATATTCAGTGTCTGCATTACCACTGCCACGTAAACGCTCAGGGCTGAGCCATGTAGTAACAGAATCTGCCTTTCCTGCACAACTTTGGTTTCTTCTGGAGTACTAGTTTATTTGCTTTGTTTTCTGTGTATTTGATTAACTTAACTGACTTTTCCATCTGTTGTCTGAATCTCTCAGGACATTCGGATGTAGCATGTGTTTCACCAGTTTTCATTTCCCTAAAGGCACAGAGCCCTCTGACCACCACTTCTCTTACGTGTTGATCTTTTGTTTTCTACATCTTAACTCCTTGTTTTCCAATTTACTTTCTCACCTTGATGGACAGATTCTCCAAGAGTTTCCTGAGAAGTATGTGGGTCACCTATGTTTTTGAGCACTTGTATCTTTGAAAATAACTTCATTCGAACCTGATACTTTTTGGCTGGGTCTGAAATTCCAGGCTGGAAATAACTTCTCTTCGGCTTCTTGAAGGCAGATCTCCCCGTCGTCTTGGCTGTTTGCACTGCAGGGGGCGGTACGTTTATCTGCACGTCTCACGGGGTCTGCCCTGCGTCTTCGTGTCCTGGGTGGATCTTTGTCTCCCGTACCCTGTGCTTGGTGGGCTTGTTCGTCTGGAAGCTTGTCTCCCATTATTCAGGTATCCCTTTCCCAGCTGCTTTTGATTTCATTTTTTATACTTTTCATGTCCAGGAGTTCTTTTTTCCCTAAATACTATTTTTCAGCCTTGTGGATCAGTTTTGTGGTTGCAGCACTCTTTCTGTTCCTAAGCTGTATGTAGCTTCTCCCGTGTCTGTTTCTTTTGGTCCTTTGTTCCCCAAGTGTCTGGCAATCCCTGGCTCCTGCTTGAACACTGAAAACTAAAAAGCAGACCGGACACTGAGCACGTAGGTGGGTCACGCCAGGGCGGTGTGGTTCAAGGTGCTGGGATCGCTTTGCTTCCTGCCGCTAGGAACGTACAGGAATTATGTTTAGAAACGAAACTTGTAGCAGTTGGATGTTACCGCAGCATTTCAGTCAGAGACCTTTGTGGGTTTTCAAAAACTAAGGTGGTATGGCTGTGACAGCTACTAGGCCCTGAGGGGGCGGGTATCCCTAGAGGTCTGATTTCCTTGGAGCACCTTCTTAAAGGTTATGGGGGCCAAGTGGGAGGAGTTGTTCTACTGCGCTGGTGTCCAGCGCCCCCTCTACCCTGAAGCAAGCGAGGAGCCAGATTTCTTCCAGCCGTCACTCCGGCTGGTCCCCCGCTGTCTGCTTCATGCCCGGGTCCGAGGTACCTGGGGCATCTGGTTTGTAGGCTGGATTTATTCTTGTCTTTCCTTCCCCACTTCACCCAGGAGTCCGCTTACCTCTGGCCATCTTATTGTTCCTGTCTCTTCTTCCCCCGGTCCTTGTGGGTCTGTGCTTTCTAAAGGAATCCCATTACTCTCATCTTAACAGGGTTTGGATCGGGGGTGGAGTGCAGTCAGACGCCTGGGCAACCTTCAGTCTTTAGCCAGAGCTCCAGGAAAACCTAAGACTCCATTTTGTTGTTTACAGTGGACAGAAAAAAGATGTTTAAAACAGGACTGTTGTAAAACTACCCAGTAAAATAGACCTTCCCAGAAACACCCACTGGAAGAGTTCATGGCTGTGCAGGCACTCATGATACGTAAGTGCTTTTTTTTTTTAACTCACTCTGAATCCACTGGCCGACCTCTGCGAATACCCCACGAGAACTGGGCCATCACCCTGAGGCTGGTGAAGCAAGCAGCGTGAGCAGGGCACAGGGCACCCGGAGGCCAGGAGCTGCAGTCTCTGCTCGCCTCCCCGACCTGCTTTCGTCCGATTCCCAGTCGGAGCTCAGGGCTGACCCTCGCTTAGTGCCACCCATGACAGACCCCAGTCTGCACCCTCGCAACTGATACTGAGTTTGTGCAGGCGGGAAAGTCCAGTTTGCAGAATACACTGCACACCTGTGTGCCAACTCGTAAGGCAGGACCCTGTCACTGAAAAGGTGGCCTGAGGGGCGGGCGCCTACAGATCGTTAGGGCCTTAAACCTGGCTGTGGGACTCCCGGGAATCGGCAGGCCTACAGAAAAGGGCGTGACACCCACTCAGTCTCGGGGGGGCCGTCACCTCAGTGCTCTCCTGGCTCCTGATAGTGTGAATATTGTAGTCAGAAGTATTTCTCAAATTACTCAGTCATTTAGGAGACCACTGAAATCCGATCATTGGCATCGTGGGAATCACTCAGATGTCCACGGCCCGAGCAGCTCCCAGTTGCCCTGGTTACGCGACCTCCACACTGGAGCCTCCCTGGGTCGGACAGGAAACACAAGCAGCCCTGTCGGACACCACGCTGTCCAGGGCTCTCATCAGGATGTCGGGCATGTGGTCTGTTAGCATCTTTGGGCCGATGAGTATTTTGCTGAATTCCGATTCGTGTGACCATTTCACACTATACCGAGCAGCAGGATAGCAGGAAAACCTGAAAGAGGAAAAGCCGAGCATCTCTTCAAGTCTCACCCCCGTGAGTCTCCCTTCACCGCTGGTGGGTGACTGACCGCGTCAGGCCCGCCGCACTCACCTCCCTGAAGTGCCCACTTCCTCCAGGTGGATGATCCTGCCGGGAGGGTAGAGAGGGGGGTACTTGGTGGGGGACTCGAGCGGGGAGTCGCTGGAGAAGCTGTAGGCCGGGGACCCGTGCGCCAGCAGGCTCCGCTCCCCGAGGAGAGGCTGCGTCAGGTCGCCCCCATCCAGCTCCGTCGGCAGGTCCTCGGGGTGCCCTCCAAACAGCTCGTACCAGCACGCGCGCAGCAGGATCTTGTACTGAGGGCGAGACCGAGAAGACGGCATGCGTGTGACTCCGTGAGGCTTTCACGGTCCCCGGAGACCTCCTGCGACCCGTGAGCTGGTGGCGGCAACCCCACAGCACTTAGAAGCCTGGCTGCTTTGTTTCTCAACATGGACCTTAGGAGTGTGGAGGTCAGGGGCCCAAACTCAGGTTTCTCTGGGGCAGTGACGCCATCACACTTGAAGCAATATTTAAAAACCAAATTCAGGCAGATTTTGAGGAAAAATTACCCTTAATTCTTTTTAGGCAATTCTGTAAACCAGTTTTACCCTTTACCCTTAAAGACATTAGATACAAATTTTTTTTTTTTTAATTTGGGGGAGTGTAGCTGATAAGGAGGAAGTTTATCTTTAAATTAAAAAATTTTTTCTAATTAGCAACAAAAAACGTCACAAAACAAAGATGTTAAGTGAAAAATCATCTCTAGTCCCGTTATCTAAATAAAAACCACATTTTGGTGTATTTTTTTGGTGAAAGCTATATATACCTCGTCACCTACCCCTGCCTTGGATTACATTCTAAGAAGCATTTTTAATCCTTCCGTTTTTAAAAAAACTCTTCAAAACATCATGGATATTTTTCTCTACTGGTAAATAAAAATGCATTTATATTTGTAACAACTATAATATCCCACAGCCCAGCAATACCAGCGCCTTCTAAACTCTGTATCTGGCAGCCTTGTTTTCTAAGCTTTGGGACCAAAACCATCAGAACGCTGTTAGTCATGACAGGACTAAGTATGACCAAAAAAACAAATCACTTAACCAAACAGGGATGGTTCTAGTATAGTATGTTCTAGTTGCAGCTTCCCTGCGCATGGTTTAGCCATTTGCTTCTCAGGCGGCCTCTGCAGAACAGCAGCCAACAGTCTGTGCCGAGGGTAGAAGAGCTTCTAGCAGCATCAGTGCCCTGCGCTATGAGGCCACAAACAGCCTGGTGGGGAGGCCCTAACCCCTGCAGGTCCTCTTCCGCACCCCCCACCCCCGCGTTACCTTGGGCTTGTTGCAGTGAGCAATCACTCGCAAGATTCTCCTCTTCAGATCTTCCAAGTTGGTCACACTTAACCTGTTGAGCAAAAGACCAGACTAAGGCTTAGAACTGCCTTTCCCGCCAGCCCAAGCCCAGACAGGACAGCCAGCAGACTCACC